GATATGACTATCTGTAGAAAATTATTGTATTAGTCAACTTTCCCATTATTGGGCCAATACCTGACAACCCCAAATATAGAAAAGAGGTTTAATTTTGTTCATGTTTTAAGAGTATTCAGTCCATGGTTAGCTGGATCCAAAGCAGAAACTTCATGGTGGAAGGGCATGGTGAAGTAAAACTGCTTAGTTCATGGTGCCTGGGAAGTAGAGGAGGGAAACAGTGCCAGGGAAAAATGGGTAAATTGTGTAGACACAATGTATTATTACCATGCACCAGCCAGATGACCAAAACAGGAAAGAAGAAAAATAAAGTTGTGATAGACCACATTAGAGATTCCCTTCTTCCGTTAAAGTTGTAGAGTATATTTTTCTGCTCATTGAATTTGGATTTGGCCTTGTGATTTGCTTTAAACAATAAAATGAATAAGAAATCAGAGTGTGACTTTTTGAGACTACACCTAAGGAAGTTTGGGTGTTTGTGCTAGTCCTCACACACTTTTGCCATCTCCATGAGAAGAGCTTCTACTGTGTAGCAACTTCTCACTCACCCTCTAGTCTGGACCCCTGAATAAACATATCTAGAATAGACCATATGAGTGAACCCCAGCCAGAACCACTGTTTAGAACACAGTTACCTAGATGAGCCAAATCTTTAACTGTTGCCCAATACCTGCACATGTATGACCTATAATAAGACACTGTTGTTTTAAGTCATTGATTTTTGTGGCATTTTATTTTCCAGTTGTCAATACTAAATGTTGATGAGGAGGTAGAGCAACTACAACCAGCTGTTGATGGTAGGAGTGAAAATTGGTAGAGCAATTTAGACAATCGTGCTTTATTTAATAACCCTGTGTTTTCCTTTCAACCTTGGAACTCCACTCCAGCAATGTAAACATCTATGTACAAAAGTTCTCACAGCAGTAGTATATATAATATCAAAAACTGGAAACAATATTTTATATGTGTCTCTCTATATATATGTATGTGTGTATACATACATACATACAATTACATCCATACATTGGCATATTCTAGGCAGACCAATGAAAATAATTGAAAAATAACAACATTCATTCAACAAAATGAGTGACTTACAATTATAATTTAGAGCTAACAAGATGAACACAAAAACAGAACATACTGTTTGATTCAATTCGTACAACGTTCAAAAGTTGACAGATTAATGCAGGTTATAGAATGGTGGTTATCTTTTGGTGAGTGTGTTTATCTTTCACTATAACAAATATCTGAGCTAATCAACTGATAAAGAGTAAAAGATTATTTTGTCTCTTCGATTTAGAGGTTTCAGTCCGAGATCAGTTGGCCCCATTGCTCTCAGGCATATAGCAATGTAGCACATCATTGTGAGAGTGTGTGGTAGAGCAAATGCCCTCATAGCCAGAAGGTGAAAAGAAGAGAAAGAGGAAGAGACTGCGGTTTCACAATCTCCTTCAAGCTATATACTCAGTGAATTAAAGACATCTCAGGAGGCCCTGCCCATTAAAGATTTCACCACATCTCAATAACACCAATCTGGGGACCAAGCCTATCACACATGGACATTTGGATGTCATTCCAGTCATTCCAGATCAAAAGCATAGCAGAGAGGTAATGACTGCAGGGAAGGATTTGCAGAGAGATATCTAGGGTGCTGGTCATATTTTCTATCTTACCTATGTGGCAGTTAAATGCAAAAGAATTCATTTCATAACAAATTAGGAAGGAGTATATTTAGGATTTGGGTAGTTTTCTGTATTATGTTATACATAAATAAGTAATTTTCCAAAAAACAAGCAAAAGAGTGGGAATATCTCTTTTTACATACTGATATGACTTTCAAGCTATAAGCAAACATATCACCGATTCTAATTACCTTTAATTTCAAATTAACCTTCATATAGCAACCCTCTGAGGCAATTCAGTCACATAGCCAGCCAGGATCTTTTCTAGTAAGTGCATATTGCCACAGCTTTCAACAAATCTAATTGTTAATTCACAGTGATGTCTGATGCCTTTAAATCCCTCTCTACTGAAAACCACACAAGATAACTGGGGGAACATTACTACCCCATCCCCAGTCCCCCCCATATCAAACTCATACTAGACTAGCACGGTTTTATAGCAGGTTCTTTACTTAGATGTCATGTATATCTCAAAATATTATCATTCTGTTGGAACAACAGAAATTCTGTGTTTGTCAAACTTGATTGTTCTACTGTACTACAAAAGGGAAAGGCCTTCCAAATATGAAAGAAATTTCATATATATGTACATTCTGTTTCTGTAAGTCTCCCTTTGCTATCCTTGTTCAAGAAGCCCCATTTTCAAGTTCCCATACAGTACCTTGCTGCTTTTCTCTAGAGAAGCACTATTCTTCTTGAAAAGAGACTAAAGTTCTCCTTTAATCATTTCCTCCCTTCCTTCAAACCAGAGTGTCTTCAATTCCAGCTAAATACTAAAAGAAATTCCCTGTTGAAGGGGTATCAGTGCTTCTGGAGAGGGCATATACGGACCTTAATTCTCCCAGAGAATGAAGTTGAATGTTCTTATTTCAATTCTGCCTCCCCACCAGCCAGAGGCACAGCTGATTTTCTCACCACCTTCCTCAATTGGTATATATTATGTTGACCTATACTTTTAATGGAAATAATATGATAATCTACTCTCAAATGAGCAAAGAGTATTTCTCATGCAAACTTGAGTTGACTTTGCATTCCTTGAAAGCAATAAACAAATATAAAATATGCCTATGTATTATTTTACTAAGACTTTCCTAAGCCTGCCTTACACTATAAGAACCATGGCACCAAGCTCTCCCTTTACAACCATATGACTTGGTGCATGCTCAGTTTTATATTCTTTTGTATTTCAATTTCTTTCACTGATTGAGGTATGACGATACGGAAGAAGTTGGTTTGTAGTTCATTTTACCATTTCCTTTTTTTTTCAAGAGACAATCCACATTTCTCTTCAATTTCATTTGAGAACACATCAGAGAGTCTAAAATTTTTCCTCTGGTTTATTCTAGTAAATCTTTCTCAACCACAGTGAAAGAAGCTGCCTGGCAGACCGCCGTGCCTGTTTTAAATGTAGTCTCATTTTCAGTGTAACTAGTTATACATTTATTTTAGTTCTTAGTAATGTGGAAGTTTGGCTTTCTTCATTTTCTTAGGTATGGGTTTTTTCCTTCTGTTGTACTCCAGTGTTCATTTAAACTGTAATATGAGAAACATATGTGTTCAATTACTGAATTCATATTTTCATCAATTACTGACTTAAGTAATATTTCTCAAATTTTAGAGTACATAGGTAAACTGACTATCTTATTAAAATGCATATTCTGATTCAGCAAGTCTAGGTTAGCGCTAAAAACTGAATTTCTAACATTCTGCAAATGATGTCAATTACTTCTAGTCCATGGGCCATAAATTGAGAAGCAAATATTTAAAGCACATGTCTTGAAGACAAACTATTTGGTCAAAATCACAATATACCATATATTTTAGCAGTATGACTTGATCGAGTAGCTCAGTTTTCTAATCTTTAAGATACAGATCTGTCTTAGTCCCTTTCTTCATTGCTGAGACATATCAGACAGCCTTAACTTAAGGAAGGAGAGGTTTATTTATATTAGCTCACATTTCAGTCCATAGTTGGCTGGCTCCAAGGTAGGATGGCATGGAAGAAGGGAATGCCAGAGTAGAACCTGGACATAGCATGGCTGCAGGGAAGCAAAGAGGGTCAATCAAGGACCCAGAAAGGAAAATATAACTTTCTGGCCACTCTCACAGTGACTTGCCTCTTCTGAACAGACCTTGCCTCCTAATAGCAAGTCAGTTTTAATGTCCCCATAATCAAATCACCTTCCAAACATCCCACATCTGAGCAAATGAGGTTTTGGGGGACATCTAGATCTAATCCATAACAGGATCTTAATGACACACATTATTTGGACTGTAAAAATTGAAAGAGATAATATACATAAGCTATTTATAAGAGTATTTGATGAAGAGTAAGTGCACAATAATCTATAAATCTCTGGGGCATTTTGACTTCCATTTGAAGTAATAATTGTAGAAACTATTGAGATAAAGTTTCAAAAATTCTGACAGCAATTCAATTATCTGAATCACTTAGAAGAAAGTACTTGTTTCTACTGTTTAAAGAAGAAATATGTTTAAAAATAATGTTCCCAGGAAATTACAAGCATAAGTGACAGAAAACTAGTAGTTAAGGGAAATACATGTGTATGATGCCATATAAATTTAAATATACATATATTTACCCTTGATTTTAATCTTATAACAATACCTTATAAGACAGGTATTATTATTTCTATTATATAGTTGGGGAAATTGAAGTTAAAACTGCTTAAATTTGACCAATGTTGCATAATTTTGCACAAAGTCAAAGCAAAACTATAATTTAAAAAGATTTACAAATTCCTATCTCATTGTCATCCTTGTAAAGTTATATGAAAGAGGCTCCAAGTAGTAAGTGAATTTCCTGTTCTCTGCAATATGAAGAGATTCTCAATTATTTCTTTATTTTCAGATGCTTCACCGACATTTTTTCTGAACTACAATCCTGCCACACCTGCTAGCCTGGCTCAACTAAAGGTACCCAAAGTCAGCATTTCCACTCTGAGTGTTGCAAGAGCATTTTGTAACTCAGCCACAATCAATATATGTTAGACCAGAGTTTGTCAATAAAGGTCATGACTTTAGAGCAACTTTAAAATAAATACTCTGTTTAGTTAAGTAGGAGCAAGGCACATGAACACCAGCGGATTTTGCATCTGACTGTAATTCATAGCCAAATGTGATACTTACCTATTTGCCTTATGCTTTCCAGAAGATGGCTGCTGGGTATTTACACCTGCAAAAAATAGGCAAGGTAAAGGGAAAAAAATAACTACAAGTACAGCTAATTCAGCCAATTTTCTTATCCAAAGAAACTCTGAACATTAACTTACATTTTCCAAAAGTGTATCCAGCTAAAATTTTATCACCACAAACAATGAAGATATGATGAGAGTGTAGGTCAAAAGTAAGTGAAGCAAACATTCTGACCTTGAAATGGAAGATAAGAGCCTGCTTGTGACTTGAAGAAGTTCATAACTCCAGAAATGTCTAAGAACAAAAAATTGTAAGTATGAACATTTTTGACACAAACTGATGAATTCTAAAATATCAATACAATATATGAAGCTAGTCTTGGTGCCACCTAAAAAAGACCGTAGTATAATTAAGTTCAATAAGGCAGAGATTTTTTTTTTTTTTTGGTACTGGGGATCGAACCTGGGTACTTGTGCTTGCAAGGCAAGCGACGGAACCACTGAGCTAAATCCCCAGCCCCAGGCAGAGATGATTTATAGTGTGCTTATAAAACAGCTGTTCAAAAAATAAATCCTTAATTTGCAGCATTTTAGAATTTCTATGGTAAAATATTCCAACCTAGACTGATTTGAAGTGGTGGATGAGACACATCCAAACGCAGAATTGGGAATAGATGTATATAATTGGATCTGCTAAACCAGTGTTAATCAGTTATAGCACACTAATGCCGACCACAATGATTAGAATCCCAGGCTATAACTTTCATACTGTTACCATGTCGACTCCAAGAAAATTATGAATGATGTTTAAATAAATTGAACAATTAGTGGGTATAATTCAAATGATTCTGAAAGAAGAAATCCCGTGACCCACACAGCATAGGGTCCAAAACCGGGGAAAGCGGTGGGAGATGAAGAAAATTGAAAAGTCATAAGAAAGAAAGATACATAGCAACATTAAGCTTGAAAGTGGGGGCCAGGTGGAACCATAGCCTGATGAGCTAATGACCACCTGGAGCACCATGCTCTCTTTATTTATAGTGGAAGGCAAACAGCAAGAGAAGACAGGACAAATAGTCCTACGTGGCCTATGTGGCCCTGTGATTGTTTCGTGATCAGGGCATGCACAGGAAGGGAACAGGTTAGGTCACATAATGTAACTATCTCCTGGGGCTGTGCCATTCAGGGTCTACAATCTTAAACAGACTGTATCTTTTTGACTGTCTAGTCTATGGAGGAAAAAGGGAGTAGGGATTAGGCAAAGGATCATGTTCAGGCTTGGCCCGCAGCAAGGAGGGGCTCTAACAAATGGTATTTGACGATTAAAGCTTTTTCCATGATCTGTAGATAAATCAAAGCAAATAAAAATCATAGAATGTGAATTATCAATTACAGAAAATATAGATTTCCTACGAAATAATATATTATATATAAAAAGCTATATTGCATAATTATATAAGGGTAAATCCATACAGATATTAAAACAATTATAAACATATATGCACCCAAAAAAAGAGACTCAAAATGTTTGAAGCAAAAACTGGTGAAACCAAAGGAAAAAAAGAAAGTACCACAGAAAAAGGCAGAGGCTTAAACAACCTAATTTCAATAATGAACAGACCTAATGGGAAAAATAGCAACAAATAACTAGAAAAACTGTAAACAGTGTAAATCAACTACATCTATTAGACATCTATAAAATATTGCATCCAATATGAGCATAATGTACATTCTCAAGTGCATAAGTAACTTTCCCCAATATAAATCATAGGCTAGACCATAAAACAAGCCTTAGTAAAGTCAAAAGATTGAAATCATACAAAGTACATTCTCACAATACAAAGAATTAAAAACAAAATCAATAACTGAAGAAAAGTTTGAAAATTGAGAGATACATGGAAATTTAAAGTAACACACTCCTAAATAATCAATGAGTCATTGAAAAAAATCAGAGAAATAGAAAATAATCTGAGATAACCAAACACTAAACATTCCAAACCAAAACATATAAAATACATGTAAAAACAATGATTGATAGAAATTTTGTAGTTGTAAATGCTTAAATTTAAAAAACTCAAATCAATAACCTACCATTCCATCATGGGAAAGTAAATAATCAATGTAAATATAATATTAAATATAAAATAGAAGGAAAGAAAGTAAAAACTAAATGAAATAAACTGGAGAAAAGAAATGCAAAAGACAAATATCAATGAAAGAAAGTTGATTTTTTGAAATGATCAACAAAATTTCAAAGCTTTAGGTAGAATGACCATGAAATAAGTGAGAAAATACATCTTTCAAAAGGAAAAAGGATAACAAGAAAATAATGTGAGAAACTCCTTGCCAATCAATATTAGAAAATCCTAGAAATACACATATTCCTACAAAAATGCTAACTACTGAGACTGACTCTAAAAAGGAATAAAAAATACAGCTGGACCTCAAAAAAGTAAAGGGATGGAATTAGTTACACAAAAACTTACTATAAAGAAAATGTCAGTACTAGATAGATGGCTTTGCTGACAAATTCTACTAAATGCTTAAATAAGTATTAAAATCAGTTCTTCATAAACTCTTATGTTTAAAAAGAGGGAGTAGAGAAAACACTTATCAATTGATTTTACAAAACCCAGGTTAAAATAATAACAATAGACATAAAGATACTACTAGGGAAAAACACAGACCACTACACTTTATTAAGGTTAACACAAAAATTCTTAACAAAATATTAGCAAACAAAATCTAGCAAAATATTAAAATAATTGATATCATAAATAAGTGGGATTTTTCCAGAATTTCAAGGTTGATTCAACACACAAAAATCAATGTAATTCATTACGATAAAAAAATAAAGGACAAAATCCACACATTTATCACAATGTGTACAGGAAAACCGTCTGACAAGATCCAGCACCATCATACAGTAAAATTGATTAAAAATTAGGCATAAAAGGGAAATTTCTCAGTCTTATAAAGGTCATCTATAAAAAACATACAGCTGACCTCATATTAATGGTAGAAGATCTAGGACTTAAAACTTTCCCCCTAAGGTCATGAGCAAGACAAGGATGTATGCTCTCACAATTTCTTAAGTTGGAAAGCAACAGTAACGATAAAAAATAATCAAGATTTGAAAAGTAAAATTGTCTTTGTCTGCACATAACGTGTTCTTGTATGTATGTTACAGAAACCACTAAAAACTATTAAAACCTAAACTGAGTTAAAGCTGAAGGATACAAATTTAATATGCAAAACAACAAACTCACCTTTTGCTATGTCTATGTACAAAGTGCATTAATAACTTAATGAAGGTCTAAACAAATGGGAAGACATCCATCATTATGAATTGAAGAACTTAGTATTATGACAATAGCAACAAACCTCAGAATCATCTGCAGATTCAGTGTAATCCCTATCAAAACACTACCTATTCTTTCTGAAAAAGCTGATAACTGGATCCAAAATTTCACAGAGACACAAAAGACTCAGAATACACAGAACAATTTTGAGAAAGAATGAAGTTGGAAGACTAATATTTCCCTACTTTAAAAATTGAAAAAAATGTTGCTCATAGTAATTAATAGAGTATAGGAATGACCTAAGGATAAATAGAGGGATCTACCAAATGGAACTGAGAGTAGACAAATGAAAGCATTCATTTATGCATTATTAATTTTGATGAGGGTGCCAAGACCATTCAATACTGAAGTAGAGAATTCTGAATAAGTGGTAATGGAAGAAATAGATATCCACTTATAAAAGTTTTGAATTGGACTCGTGTATCATGCCATATCTAAAAAGTAACTCAAAATGGATCATAGACATATATGTTCAAGAGCTAAACCTAAAAAAGAAGGAAATAAATGAATAAATCCCCATGCTATTGAATTGAACAATAATTTCCTAGATATGACACTAAAAACACAAATGTAAATGTTTAAAAAATATATAAAATAGAATACACAAAAATTTAACACATCTGTGATTCAAAAAATTACTATCAAGAAAGTGAAAAGACACTTGAGAATAAGAAATTGTTATAAATCATATATCTGACAAGAGACATGTATCTATGAACTAGAACATTTATAATTCAATCATAAACAAATAGCTCAATTAAAATGGGTTCTATTTTTCCATTTTCCCTAGCCCTCCCACTTCCTTCCCCTTTGCCCCCTTTCTTCCTACTTCACATTACCTATTATACATTTTAGTCCTTATTTACACTTTCAGTTTCTCACACCAGAGAAACTATTT